TCCTGCTGTATTCTCCATGACTCTCCTATCAGAGCACTCTCAGCCTCTGCCCATCACACATCCTTTCAATCCATTCCACAGAACCTAAGCTCTCTTCAGTACCTCTTCTCATAACTTTTGCTGTGGTTGATTCTGACCTACACGTGTGCTGATATGCTGTCCTGTGGGTCAACAAGAATAGATAAGTTTTGAATTCACCCACAGCTTTTTCCAAAACAGAGATAGTAGCAGAGTCTCTTCTCTTGCCTCTACATAGGCATGGACTTGCCTAAAATTTCTAGGTGTTTCCTACTTCTGATACCCCAAGCCCTCTATGAGATTTGATTGAAGGGACCGTTCATTTCAAAGGGTGTTAGATGAGACCATCAGAAAGCGCATCTGCTCCTTAGGAAACTGTGCTATAAACTGTGATTATATGTGATTTATTGTTCTGATTTGCTCACCTCCCTGTAAAGTGTACTCTGCCACAGGTCTGCTGAATGCTCCCAGCCCAGCTCCATTGTAAGATGCCACCTGGATTTCATACTGGGTCCAAATGATAAGGTCTTTCACTAAGCAGTAGTTAATTTCGGCACTGGTGATGTTCTTATACTGGTATTCCCCAGGGAGCCCTGCCAGGCGATACCTACCATATGGGAAGAAAAACTTGCTGTTAATTAGATAGTATCAATTATACCAAATATCCTGCCAGCAAAATAGCTTCCTTTTGAAGAGGCAATATCCAAACTTTTACAGCAGAATTATACAAAAAATAATAAAAAATTAATCAGAAACAACAGACTAACTCCTGATAAGACCGTATCTTGTTTGACTGCTATAGTATTTATAACCTGATCTCACCGAGGTTGCATGCTCAGGGCTAAACAAAACTGGTATTCTATCCTGTTTTGTGGTTGTAGAAAAATTACAGCTTTTTAAATGTGACTTGTCTAGTAAAAGCTGTGATTTAGTACAAAAAATAGCCCAGATGTGATTTTTATCAGGGCACTGCTGTAAATCAGTTTGAGAAATGCTTTTTTCCTTCGCCTCTGAAATCTGAAAAGGAAGAGCTCAGAGGGCTCTGACCTTCTAGTCCGAGGCACTGCCATCTCTGGCTTCCACCAGGATTCACGTCGCAGCATGAATAAAATAAGGACTGAATATATTTGAGGTTGAACGAAGGGCTAGAAGTGGAAACTCTAGGAGGAGGGCTGTACCAAAAAAGGATTAGTGGTAAACATTCTGAAAACTTTCTGCTGAAAGGTAGGAAGAAAAACAACTGAGTACATTTTTCCCTGTAAAAACCATAGAGAAAATAGAGCCTTTTTGATGTTTCTCTTCAGGCCAAAAAACTATAGAGAAGAAATAAATTATAGAAAATAAACAAGCCTTGCAATCCTACAAATGTGAATAATACTGTTCAGTTTTCTTCCTTTAGGAAAATGGTACAATGGATGCTTACAACATGCTAATCCACGAAAAATCAGAAAAACATAGACCAAGTAAGGGCATGAGGCACTACTATTTCATGAAAAGACAAATACGGGAACATTTAGATTTTTATTCATCACACAACTTTTATGCAGTCTTATTCATCCTTTGCTTGCTAACAATCACCAATAGCTTATTGACACAGAATAGTTTCATTTGTATCTTATAGTGTGATTTTAAATGCATCTAAGTTAATCTGGTGCCATTTCTACAACTAGACAACTTCTGCAGGTACTTAGGCAACAGAGTTTGTTGTAAAGTCTTCTTACAAAGAGATCAGTTCTTAATCACTGGCAACCTCTCTCCTCTGCAGAAGAGTTGCTTGCCTGACCGTAATGTGGTGGACTTCATGTCTGTAACATTACTGTAGTGTGGTTCCATTTATGAAACACAAACGAAAATAAAGAAGTATCAGCCTTCAGCTGAATTCATTGAATGTCTTTCTCTGTTGCTATTTATTTCTACCTTTTCTCTTTTTTTTGGCTCTCGTGAAGGTTGTATGAGTGTTGGCAAAGTCAATTCTTTGTGCAGTACTGTTTTGTCTCACACGTTCCAGACAAGGTGTGGAGAGACCCTGCGATCTAATCTATTACGCTGTTAGCACGGCACTCCTCTAAATGCAGCACTGCCAGTGAGGAAAAGGGCAGAGGCAGAAGGCCAGTTCAGAAATGTCATGTCTTCACGATTTTTCTCACCACAGACTTTGATGTATACTCTATATGACTTGTGCAATGCACCTCCACTTTTAAAGATCAGCTGTTCCATCGTTTTAGTATCTTGCATGTCTTCAGTGTTGGGTCTCTGGGTTGCACTTTGGTTTTGATTTTGTTATATGCTAATTCTAGCATGTGCAGGAATACCCTTTTTCTGGGCGCACATTGATTTGGAAGAACAGCTTGGTTTATTACCTGGGACAGTTGTGCTTTTATATGATAAACTCCTGTCAAATAAATGCTTTCGCTGTTCTGTAGTCTAGACAAAGCATTCAGACCTCAAAAACATTCACAGATTGAGCATAATGAATATGATCACTCTCTGTTGAAATGGAAAGTGATGTTATAGGGAGGACAGGGATCAATTATGCTAATAGCTGTGGTAGAAAATGCTCAAGTTAAACATTACTGAAAATGTTATACGGAGAAAGAGAATAGAATAGATTGCCAAACGCAGGAGGCTATGGGACTGCTTGCTCAGAGGAGACCGTGCCCAGACAGGGTAAGAGTCATTAGGAATAGCTAAGGAATTAATCCTATCGTTCAGTAGACTGCTTTGAAGTAAAGAATCGTATAAACAACACTTGTACCCTGTGTAAATGGGAACCCAGATTTTTTGACAAGATTCTGGCTATAGGCAGAAAAGCATTTTTTCCCACCTGTCACATGTGACTGGCACAGCTTTCAAACTGTGTCCAGCTCTTAAGACCGCGGGCGCTTGCACAAGCGGCTCACCGCTATAATAGGCTCTGTGCAGGTGACAGGGAGATTAACAGACTTCAGCTCTGCCTGCAGAGAGCAGGAACTTTCCAGCACTATTTTGGGAACTCACCAACACTCTAACATCATAAAAGCAACTCCATGCATGCCAGCAAAAGCAGGAGCACAGCATGAAGAGGATGTTGGCATTTATACTGTACCATTTAGTTATCTCTCAGTAGGTCTGGAGCACACTACATTAAAAATGTCAGCAGCCTGACTACACCATTGGTTATAACCATCACTTGGAGATATGTTAGTGGTGGGGTAATGCTTGGGAGTTTCCCACAAAAAGTCTAATTTAGATAATGTCTCCGCTTACTAAAGGCAAGGCCCTAGCTAGCTCCTAGCACTGCAGGATACGTAGGAAGCCAAGGAAGCAAGTAAGCTGTAGTTGCATTAGGTAGGAGTGAATAACTGATTCCCAAGAGATTAGAAAAGCGTTATGCTCTGCAAAGTCTCTCACTGTGGCAACAGTCTTTCTAACAAAATAAATCCTGTGAAAGCAGAAAGACTGGATATAAGGATTCTCAGTTACCTGTCTGAATCTGCTTCTCTTTAATAAATACAGCTAGAACTGAAAGAATCTCACTCAGCTGACTGATTTGCAAAACCAAACCAAAGCCGGCCATGAAGCAGTTGACCTGTGATTCCTTCTCCCCATTCTGTTTGACACAAAAGTGAAGTTTACTGCTCTTGCTCTTCCATAACGCAGCATCCCTTTGTTCATGGTGCCTTTGGCAAGATAATTAATCTTTCTAGTAGGAAACTTAGACTATAATAAGCAAATATACATCTGCAATCCATAAGCTGCACTCTACTAACCCGTGTAAACACTTCAGCATATGGTGCTTCACCTCCTTTTGAAAACAGTTACCTGGACACTGAGACTCTCCAAAGGGAGCTAGTCCAGGCTGTCCATTCAGAGTAGCTAACAGAGTGAGAAAGAGCTTCCTGACTCTCTAGTGTAGATAGACTAGAATTTACATATCTGGACTTCTGTCGCCATTTAAACAGAGGCCTTTTCTCATCTGTAATACACCAGGGCAGGCATGGCATTTGTAAATAATAATTACTACATTAAATAAAATTGGGAATAGCCTTTAACACATGCTTGTATCACACTAAATTAGCAAATTCCCCCATGCACACATGGATCTAGCTCCACAGTTGCTACATTAGGAACCAAATAGCTCACCTTAGGATGTACCCATGAAGAACTCCATTATGTTCACTTTCAGGAGGAGGTTGCCACTGGACCATGATCGACTGATTAGTGCGCCCACTGGCCACTATGTTTTTAGGCGGGGCGCTGGGAGGCTCCTCAGGTAACATCAACCTGAACACAAAAGAAGGTGATGGAGGTGGGTGTTGAAAGAAAATGACAGATAACATTTCTATTTTATGTATCCACTACATGTGAACCACTTTTGTTTATCAAAGTCTGATGACTAGAAAGAAATATAATGCCGATCAAACTGCTGAAGACATGCATGAAATAGTTACAACAAATCAACATAATAGGAAATCAGTTAAGCAAGCAACAAGACAGACAGCTGAGGTAACCTTATTCTCTCTGAATCACCCAGGCTGCTGCAACTCTTTGAAAAGATTACAAGCCTGAATGAGTTAGAGCTCAGGTCCAGTATCTGTGACTCTTTCCAAATTGTTTCTTTCAATATTTTTCATATCAAACTCCTACATTTTGAAAAAGCCATTTAGAGTTCAGCTGTTCTGCAATTCAAGCTCACAGCAAGCTTTGGTTCACAGAAGAAAGGGGATGCATTTGAAACTAAATTTGATGAAGCCATCCTTCTATGTCATATCTGGGTGAATTCCAGAAGTGACATTGCAATGACTGGGTGAAAGCTGCGCTCCTTCCAGAGCTAACTGCTGGGGCTTAATACAATAGGAAAAAATATTTAGGTCGCATATACGCTCTTTACCATCTTCCAAGATGATGTTCAACTGATATTCAGGAAACATGAAGGCACCTCTCTCCCAGTGTATGTTGATACCCTGCATCTCCTAATTGCCATTAACACCAATTACTGACAGTTCCAGAGCATTCGCCAGAGGCCTGGGTAATGGCTAACTGCTCCATTCCCCAATTACTGTGTAAAAGATAACTTTATTGTATTTGTTCCAAAATAAATCAGCAGATTTCTCTCCCAGTAGTCCTATAAACGCACAATAACTTGTACGTTTACTACATAGGGATTTTCTTTTACTGTACCTGCTGGTCTCAGAGCTGTACTGGCCCTTTCCCACCTGGTTAACAGCACACACCCTAAATTGGTAGGTTCGAGCTGGAGTTAGTCCCCTCACAGTGACACTGGTCATCTTTGGGTCAAGATTTGATAGGTGGACCTTCCAGGGAGAATCTGTTGGAATAATTCAGGTTTGAAAAAGATTGAGGTGTTTGTTAAAACCCTTGCAGAAGTGAGAAAATGCCTTTGAATGCACAGAGCTCGTTTTCCTCAGAGGAACTTTAGCAAGAAGTTTCTTCTCAACAAAAGAAATCTTCCTGTCAGCCCACACAGTTCTGCAGATTGCACATTTGTCTACTGGAAAGTGATGCTGCACATGTCATGGCATAATAAATAAAAACTATATTCATTAACATTTTAATAAAAGAGGAAGCAAGCATGATAAAGACAGATGGGCTGTGTATTTCACAACCCATCTGTTTGGCAGTCCATTACCACACCACACCCCTGAGTGGCTCTGGTGGAAGGGCTGTAATGAAATTCACAGTCGGTTTGGAATATCTTTCTACCCAGCTTGCAAGCAGGTGTAGAAGCGTGACTCTCTCTTCCAAATCAGCTCTTTGCTGTAAGACTGGAGAAAGTTTCTGCTGCATATTCTGCGTCTGCATTTTTTTCTAGAGATAGCATACGGTATTCAGTCTCCTCATTTCCTAGGAAGTTTTCCTGGTATGCACAGCCCTGGCAGTACCATCAAACCCCTGTTATCAGTTCACATACTTCACACGCCAAGCTCCTCTGTTGCTCGAATTACATTTTCGAGTTTTCAAAGAGGTCAGAAATAAAACATGTTGAAAATTAAATATCCCGACTTTTTTTCTTCCTAGCATGGTGTCATATATTCTCCCCAAAGTCACGGCTGAAGTAGTCAAGGAGAGGTGACATTTGGTCTGTGCTGCAACAGTGCAGCTACGGCGTCAGCCAATTTAAAGATTTGTTCAGTTTTTAAATAATACCAGCTGTTTTCATGCTCCCTGCTCAAAATTACAAACACTTCTGGAAATTACCGAGGAGCTAGCTGTAGATTTTGGCAACGTATCTGTGCATGTTGCTCAGAAGTGCATTGCAGTTCCTGGCAGGTCACCTAGACGTCTGCCTGAAAATGAAGATGAGATGTCCCAAATGTGGAAAGCTGCTAAACTTCACACCAAGATATAAATCACTAATTTAGTGCTTTTCTGGCAGATTCCTTAGCAAGTCTGAGTCCTCTGGAGTGAGATGCCAGTTGGGCTATAAACGTGGCATCTTTTAATTATTCAAAATATATTTATTCCAGTAATAGCTTTCTGAGAACAAAGTCTTTTTTTAACAGGAAAACTGACACAGCAAAATGGGCGTGCTGGAGAGGGACAATTGCACAGCAGTCAAGTTCCAACAGCACCAGTTGTTGATGATTTACAACAGTCACTTTGGCTGCAAGATCTTGATGGCAATTTATCTTAACAGAATACTGAGCTTCTTTAAGCAGGCACTCGGGGGAAGCACACCTGCACTAACTAGGAAAGCACTGGCCAGGAGCTTTTTGCCCCCTTGTTCCTTCCAAAGTTTATCAAGCTTCTCTTGAGACTTTCCAAACAACTGTTCACCTTGTTATACGCAGAGTGCATGAAAACAAATCATAGAAAGCCAAAGTTAAGGTATGGCTGACTTACTAAGTTGCCTAAAGCAGCTTCCTGATGGAAAATGGGAGAACAGGCACTCCCAGGAAAGCCAAACGCCACCAGAGCCCAGCTGATCAGTAGGGGTCCATTTCCTAGAGCAAATCAGTCTTATTTGTTTACGGCCAGTGTAAACACCACCTGAGCATGTTTAACCCAAGCAGCTCAGTGTAGTGAGTGGTTTGATTCAACAACGGGGCCTGTTAATCTCTTCAGCACCTCGGGGCTTTGCTCTGTTTATATGCTGCATCTGTAGGATACTTTATTTATTCTTTTTCCTCTCCTGGTGGAAGATAAAAGATCTGGCAGGAAGAGAGATTAAACTAAAAACTAATATAAACGAACCCTATTCATCTCCTGGGCACTCTGACTTGTAAAGGAAAGTATTCGGGGAGGATTTGCTTGCTCATGGAGCAATACAGTGAGTTTGCAGAGTATCTTTAAAATTTAAATGTCAAGCTTCTTTTGACAATCAATAAACTAAACGTTTTGAAAGCCTGTTCTTCCATCTTAAACACATAACAAAACCTAGAATTGTACAGAAGCTTGCTGCCCTGTGCAGAAAAGCAATTCTGGCATCAGAAACATTCCATAAAACTTTCAACACTCCCTCTCTTCTCCTTCAGGGATTACTGTCACTCTCCTGCCCCAGGAAGCCTAGAGAAGTTCCACGGTGACAATAGACTTGTCAGGTCAAACTATTAAATAAACCTCTGTTATATTGAATAGACTGTGCTAATCCTTCATTTAACTTAAACTGCCCAGAAGGTACTCTGGGCTTTGCTTGCTCATTCTTCCACTTTCTGAAAAACTTCCATGTTTAGTTGTCTGTCTCCTTAAGGATATTGGGTATGTTGAATCAACCCTGATTGCACCTCCAAGTTAATTCAATTGAAACTAAGAATCTCATGGGCTACTCTCTTGCTTACTGCTTGATTTTGAGGGGTTTAGAAATTGCTCCTGGTCTATCAAGAATTTTTGAATGTATTTGTGATGAGCTTGATAAGCATGTGAAACATGCAAAAATTATGTTAGTGCAAATGACAGTAATGCACGCTACTGTTTGTTTGAAAATCCTATTCCATAGGAAGGCTCACTTTCCCAGCTCTGTGTGGGTAGGAATACTTAATGACTGTGTTTCCCTGGAACTAAGTTTTTCAAATTAGATTATAAATTTGCCCCCAAATGTTTGAGGCCATATGTCTCAAATCGCCCACAGGGTGATTCCCATCTATTGGGAATGCTTATGATTTGAGAATTATTCTATTGTGCCAAATATACTCATTTTAAAGATTAGATGACTTGGTGACTAGAGTCATTTGTATTTCCAGCAATTTATGTATGCGATCTGCCATTGTTTCTTCTGCTAATTAAAATGAGGTTTTTACATCTTTTTACTGAATTGCTGTTAATGAAAAGGAGTTTTAATCCATGCCAGGTGGAGTGACATGCCTCTCTTTAATGTAGCTAGTAATTAGTCCCTTGAAATTTATACTTATTATTTTGAACCCCCTTCAGTTAGTTCTGTGTAATGGATACTGTTATTATGTATTCATTTATGGTACCTGCTTCAAAATGTACAATGGATGCTAAAACTATTAGGAAATTATTCAAAGCAAAACAACCAAAAAAATGAATAAAACCATGCTACATTTTGGCACCTGGAACTGCAAAACAAAACCCACCTATTAAAACTTCATATAACCCAGTTTTCTGTGAAGCATTGCTAACTGAAAAATAATCTGTAATTCTGAGGCCTCTCCCTAACCTTTACATATATATAAAAGCAAACTCAGATTAGGATGTTAAGCATATTGCACTGCTGCTGACAGCGAAAGAGCTACAAACACAAGCGAATGAGCTTATAGGTGGCATATGCAGAATCTTTGAGAGCTGCTCCCTTTGCAGCACAAACAGGACTGACAGAAAACCTGAATGAAAAACTTCTTTGCAAAACAAAAAGAGATTCAGCACAGTCGCATCACACAAAACTACACCACCATAATAAGATCACATCAGCTTCATTCAGGAACACCTCTGAAAGGGGAGGTGGTGTGGGGGGAAGTAAGGATGCTGTTTGCCATAGGAGCAAAAGGTCTGTAGAAACTAAGTATAAACCACACACTATGGAGCTCAAAATAGCTCTCAAAACCAAGACACTCCAAGCAAATAAAAACAAAATGAGACAGTGACACTGTCCAGAAATTAAAGTCATCTATGCAAACCAAAGTCACTGTTGACATTGTTCCACTATTCTGCTGACATCTGTAAAGTGGAGCAACAGAACATAAAATATGAGAATAGTAACATGTGGAATATTCAAGGGCTCAGATTCCTCCCTGTCCTATCTCTATGAGTGATCATTTAGAGATGGAATATAAAAACAAAATAAGTAAAATAAAGATGAAAACTCAAAGGACAGCAAGATCTAGACTATTTCTGGGAGTTAAGATGATCATTTCGCAATAAGCCTGGTCTGTGTTTGGTTTTGGCAGCTGCAAGCTTGTTGAAGTACATATACCTATGATTTGTGATAATGAGACTCTCTCAGTGGTAGATTGCAATGCCATCAGCCAAAATTATTGGATCTATCACAGAATGAGAGAGAGTTCACAGGATCCTGTGGAGTTCTGAGGGACTGTTTGCATAATTTCTGTAGAATTATTGTTGATTTTTGCAGAGCCTTCTACAAATATCAGCAAATGAATTACAGCATTTTCCAACTGATGGCACATTTACCCCATTCCCATACCAGAACAAGGGCAAAGCATCCTTGCTTGAAAGACACTTAAAGACCTTTCAAACTTCACCTGGCCCTGAACGAGCTGTCTCCTTTCTTAGGGACACTTCCCGATGGACACAGCCCAATGCAGGACCCAAGTGCATACATTCTGCCAGCTCTGCGCTGTCTCTGTATAAATACTGCTCTAGTATCTTTGCATCATGTTCCCAGACTGGGAGTTTTTTAGCTTGTCTTCACCAAAGCTACCGGGAGAAATGGAAACACACGGGTAACGACCTTGGGTGACAGAACAGGAAGGAAAAGAAAAGCAAAAAGGCAGTTACCGGAGGTCAATAGGAAGGGAAGCAGAGGCAAAGGAAAGAGGAGAGAGGAGAAGGTGGTGAGAAAAAGGCAGAGAATGAGTACAAGCAGTTGGATCCAGTGTGGCGCAGAACACTGAATTTCTCAAAGTTATTCTGTTACAGAAATATCAGGAGTCTTTGCTCTAGAGAGCTGTCTTAAGGACAGCAGTCCTGGGCAGGACTTCAGAGCTCTGCTAGGATTAGAAAAATGCACTTGCCTCAACAGCTGTCAAGATCATCAGTTCTGGGACCTTCATATCTGAAAAGTTATGCACTCCCGCTTGCAAAGCAAAAGGCTTACGTGTGCTCTGAACTCAAGCTCTCCATGTGGCAAAACAAATGCTACTCTCTAGATAATCAGGAATCAGTGCTGTTTCACATTTAGTTCTGCAGTGGCTAATTTCCACTTTTCAGAAAAAAGTGATGTTCTTAATTTTTCCATCTAAAATCAATTGTTAGGCTTGGATTTCCAGCTTTTAGGGTGACAGAGTTTACAAAGTATTGCCAAGGTGACTGATTTCCATATAACCTCATCTTTCACTCAATTCCTAAAGAGGCATTAGCAGTGTCCCTGAATAACCTTGCAAACTGAGAGCCATAAAGCACCAGACCTACTGAAGAGGAAACAGTGAGAAGTGGCATTTTACAACGACCAGGTTTATAATCTATGAACCCAGATACTTCTGTATCTCACAGTTAAGTATCCTCAACCACCTACTTAAAGAAAGGTGCAAAATAATAGCACAGGGAAAGTGAAGAGAATATATGAATCCATATACATGCATGACAGTAGCTCCCGTTACCAGAGCTGTAACCTGATAACAGATCACAGGTTTTGTTCCTCAGACAGACCATCAACTCCTTGCATTATCATATATATTATCATGTACTCTTCAGCTGAAATTGAGCTCTAATTGTATTAGGAGATCTATGAACCCAGAGGAAAAGACAACAATGGGAAGAAATAAAATACAGCTACTGCCTTTTTACAGATGACGTTTAGCAGCACAGAGAGATGAACTAATGTGCTTGAAGTCAGGCTGGCAAAGCTGAGGGAGGAACCAAGGCTTTTCTGGCTAACCAGGTCACCATCTCGGGCCTCCTTCTGCTATTTAACTCCTTCAGCATGATAACAGCTGAATGTAAAACCCAGGACTTCCCATTCCTGCACACTATCTCTCATCAAGGAAATAACAGGGTTATGTTGTTGGTAGCTCTGGTAAAAGCTAAATCTAAAGGAAGGCTGAATAATTAAGAGGAATGTGAGGCTGAAACATATTGGACTTTACTCACTGTTCTCAGATAGCTCTACCATGTAGTAGAGAACAGGGCTGTTCCCGTCAAAGGGACGCACCCAGGAGAGCATCACGCTGCGGCTGTACGAGGAATTCAGAGTGGCCAGAAGATTCTGAGGGGAATGAGGCAGTTCACTATTGAGAAAAAGAGAAAGGGAACAAAAAAACAGCACAGAAAATCAATCTACATTTCATTCAGCTACAATCTTACAGGCAGTTAGACGCGTACATGGCATCAGCCTTGCATGATCAGAGATATAAGACTACCAGCAGCTATTGCACAATTAAATAAATGAAAGATATCTCTGAATTATTCACAATTTTGTCCTGTTTGCTGAAAGTCTCAAGGCTGATGCTTAGAACAGCTAATGGAACTGTTACTAAATGTGGAAAAGAGCCAATTTTCCTGTTGTTTTTGAATTGAGACAAGCTGGTCAATACATTTCTCTCTCCTACTTTTTTACCCCTCTCTTACAATGACATTCTCGCAATTGAACAGCAGTAGTACATACAAACAGTAAAACATATGAGAGGTATGATTTAATACGGAATTTTTCATACTCAGGAAAGCAGAAGACATTGACACCAGCCATACAGAGTCGCTAATCAAAATTACCACATGTATTCTTAGGCTACAGAACAGCTTGATTTACTCGTGTATGCAGGCTTATCCTGTCACGGGTAGAATCTTTCCTTCATATAATAGGGATTTTTTGGAAGCACCCAACCAGAAAATGCAATGAAAATGCCTGCAGAAACCCAATGGAAATACTAAATGAAACATTAAAAATAAAAAGAAAACAGCAGCTCAATTAAAACACGTGATTTCTCAAAATAAATGCATCCATTTGGGCTCACTGTCTGAAAGTCATTGAGGCTGCACAGTGCAGTGAGGAAACTAAATTCTGCTACATTCCTTAAACACTGATCTGTAATAAGTGATAAGAGCCCTCTAGCCATTATATTTAAACCTGGTTTCTACTTCTTCATTCTCAAGGTGGACGAGGATATCTGAAAGTGAAGCAAAAGCCAGATGGACCAGTTTTCTCCCATTTGATCTACCGCTTCTGCCCAGGAAAGCTCTGTGGTAATCCTTCCTCAACATACTCTACTGCTACATGGCCAGAGCACAAAGCCACAAGGCTACCTGCCATCCTTAATTTAAAAATGTACTAATTGCTTGCTGTGATGTGTCATGCTCCTGAACTCTTACAGTTACTAAAAACCCACCACTACTTAGCCACTCACAAAAGTAAGCACAGACTCTGGCTTTAAGTCAGAACAGTATGTTCTGGATTCAGATTTCTTCTAGAAGACAGGGGAATGTACAGAGAACCAGGCAACAGTTTTATTGTTTTTTCCAATTAAAACTGTTTACATGTTTATAATGGCTACTTGCTGCAGAGCCAGTTCGAAAGAGGTTGCTAGAAGAGTAAAACAGGAATAGCAAGGAAAATACATAGATAATGAGAAAACATAACTTGAGGGCTATCTCTTGCTCACCTCTACCTAGACTAGAAGGGTTAATGCTTCCTAAGGCTAAACCTGAGCTCAAAGTCTCTTCTCATCTCATTTGACTTTAAACGCCTGACCCAATCACAAGCACAGTCACCCTGGGCACCTTCTGTAGTAAACAAGGAAGGACACCTCCGGGCGTGATTTGGATATTAACTTCATTAAGTCACTCTCTAAGGATGCCTTGCTCTCTCTCCATTGATTATACGGAGTTTAGGCTGACTACATGCTCATTTGCAGAATGCCTGCAGAAACCAGGCACCAGACTTTTGATGCTAAGACACAGTCACTTTGGGGCTAGAGGAAACATGGGGCACTGGAATGAGCATGTATGGAGCCCAAAGAGAGCAGATTTAGAGCAGAGCACTGCAAAATTTTTGACAAATAAATTGAATTATTTATTTATACAAAAACCTGCTTCTGTACCACTGCAAATTATTGCTACTCACATGTTCCTGCAGGCAACTTCTCCAGGGGTTTTAGCTACTGTGTATGGGATTAAGTTTAGGGAAGAGAGGGACCCGGAAACAAATGAGAAGGGTGGCTGGACTGCAAGACAAAATGGAAGAGTAAGCCTGTCATTTGAAAAGTATGGACTTGGGGTTTAAGATATGGTCATTTACCCAGGCACCATGAGAGTTTGTTACTTAATTTTGAATGAAACATCAAATTATAACAAACATTAAACCTCTGCTACAATTTATCTCTACCTCCTGAGCAGGCTGGGTGGAAAAGTGAATTTGCAACTAAGCTGGCAAAGGAGATTACTGAAGGGAAGAGAGCGAACTGTCGTGTTGTGACATGGCTCACAGGAGCCCCAGTCCCCTCTCCGTTTCTCACTACGCCCTGCGGGGAACATCTGGAGACGGGCTGTGGCTTCGGTGGCTTCCAGAAGCCGATGCTCACACAGGGAGCGGTGCGCAGGGGATGGCTGTCGGGGAGCTCACGGCAAACATCCCCAGGTAACTCCTTCTGTGAACTAAACAAACACCACCGGAATTTATTCAGGATATTTGGAGGGCAGATATTTACTAGGTAGTCTTGTTTTCTCATACATTTAGAAGGGCTGAATTAACAGCTTATTTGAGGACAGAAACGATGGGACTAAAAGAATTTATAGTTTGGTCTCTTTTTCTCTGGATACGGCACTGAAAGATTTTTTGGAGGAGACTGGATGTTCCCTCCTTCACTCCTTTTAACTACACATTGAGCTATAAACATGCTTCTTGCTTAGGATCTGGCTTTAGTGATTATTCTGTTAGATTTGCACCAAATAGTAATCAGGCAGCGGCAAGAGGGAGCTGGAAAAGCATGAGCTGCAGCAGCCCCGCAGCACACGAACATCATATTCTCTACCCATATGTATCCACCTCAAACACCAACAGATGGTGCTTACAGGTTTGAATCCCTCAAGGCAGACATAACAAGTGCCTAAGAAACACACCTGGTCAGAAATGAGTATTTAAAAGTACAAAGAAATTTCAGCACAGAAGTGTACTGCTCTCCTTGTAGTACACAAAAGCAGAGATTAATAAATCGTAATTCCTACCGTAGCAAGCACTTACACTTTGTCCCCTTCTCATTTGCTACCACATACTGCAAAGAAAGGATGATAAATGAGACCTGTACCACCACCATGAATATTTGTGTTCCCAAAAGAGGTTATTGCTTCTTTTTTCTTTAAGAGAATTACTTTTTCCTGCTCCTAACATCCGAGGAGTCACGGAACGGTAAATCAAAGCCTTCCCCAGGCTGAGAAGAACCTCAGACTAGCACTGCTCAACTCCTGCTACATCACGGAAGTGAACAAGGCTCGGGAAAACAACACACACAGCACCTAACTGCCCTTGATCAGACACTAGCCATTTAATTCTAGCATTATCATCTCTTTTTGTATTCGCTGAAGCCCCATACAGGAAAAATATTAACCTTTTTGAATACAGGATATCTTAGACATCACTTCTCTCATGCTAAAGAGATATGTGGAGTCCGGTTTTCTGTAACTTCCCTTCTATGATAGCAAAAATAGTATTTGGACACTTTTAAATCCAGGGTTAATGACAGGGCCACCAAGGTGACCTGAGGGGACTTTGATAAAGCAATTAAAATAGAGGATTTGCAAGGAAAGAACATGAAGCCACTGTGACAAGCCAGGAGAGAAATATTAGCTAGTTACAGATGATACACGTTCAAAACAGAAACCCTAATGTTTCCAGTCAGCTCATCACTGCCAGAGGGTACCTGAAAAATTTACTCTGCAAACACATACAGTGTTTTATAAAATTAGCTAAAAGCAGACTATTTGCTAAGGGAAATAAAACAGACATGGTTTGGAGAGATTTCTGAGAAAAATGGTCCAACAGCAGGTAATTAGAAAGACCGTGACTGAAGACGGGATTACTAAAAAGCCAAAGGAGATTAAACAAGTCTTCCTTCCTGTTAGTTTATAAAAAGCCCTGCTCCTACCTCAAAAATGATTTCCTAAATCAGCTCTCCATATACAGAGGGTTTTCTCAGGAGCAGGTGGCTCATCTGCTAGACCTGATAACTTGCTAGGAAGTTGAGGCAAGAAGTCTAACAAATCACTTAGCCCTGATGGCTTTGGTCATAAAAGTTTATAATGTTTTAAATTAAGAAACAGGCCATCTATTGCTCAAGACTTTCCAGTTTCTATTGTAAAAGAATTCTCTCTAATTTTTTAACATAGGAATGATTCTCACAACACATCCAGTAGTAGCAAGGCTTTTTGCCTCTTGCAAGCCTACAACAAGGTGGCACTTCAAAAATTAAACGTTTGCTAAATACCAGAACACATAGATTTATTTCCCATTTCATTTTGGCACTCACCTCAAGCTCAAATCTACAGAGGACATCTACAGGGAAAGACTTTTGAATTTTATGCTTTCTTTTTGTTAAAACCGCTATATTTTTGGTACACATTTGACAACAAGCAGACACAATTGCTTTTCTGGGTGATTCCCTCTGGAACGTCAAATGCATTTAAACTAGCAAGGAACCTTATTCCTTGGTTCTCAATATCCCAACAGAGAGCTTGGAAAAATAAAACTACAACGTTTCTTTTTAGTGAGGAAGGAATAATATACTTTCAAGTCTGATGTCCTTCCTGCTTTCACCCCCTGCAAAAGGGAAAAGAGATGGACTATCAGAACTGAGGCACAGGGGATCCGTATGAATGTAAGCTTGCAACGAGATGTCATTTTGATTTGTCGGTCTGCATTGCTCTTCCTGATTTTATTTTTAGCAATCAAGCTATTTGGTTATGGCGCACATTTGAAAGAAATCAGAAGCAGTAGCACTTACAAATACCTCAAGTAAAAACGTTATCTGACGCTATGTATAAATGACTGACAAAGGCAGCGCCGCTGATTCTTGGCACCCTGTTGGGTTTTGTTATAGGTGGTTAGCTCACCTCTCCTGCTTTTGAAGAAGAGACAGAACAATAGCAGTTCTCTGTCTGGTGGAAGAGAACTGAAAGAGAACTGCTGCCAGGAATAAATTGTCTATTTGTGTATTACATTGTCCGACCCATATTTCTGTACAGAGAAAGGGTCTAAAAGATTTCACTGTCTGTTGTGACATAACCGAGGCTTGCACGGGACTTTGGTTTCCCAACGATGCAGCATTACCATACTTTTCAGCCACATTCATCCAACAAAGAGATTCCTTAGTATGGACTGCACACAGGCAGATATTGAGCAGCTGGCATCATCAGGCACAGAGAGCCGTATTTCTGCATATTTCATATATACTGAGAACCCTCAGGATACTTTTGAGTTGGAATCAGCAGAGTTTCCTGTCAGGAGAGTGATACACTGTGGTAACTCTCAGCTTATTCAGCTTTAGGAATAAGCATTTCTTTCTCTGTATGTATTTCATTCTTTATGGTATTTACAGGACTATAAAAGTAAGCTAAATGAAGCTGGGAAGTTTCATTACATGCAATTATTTTCAGGATCAAATCTTATGACTTGGAGGGATGCAAGAGAAGCACAAGCTCATCACCAAAAGACCTGCAAACGCTTCTGTATTTGCAGCTGAGAAGCTCTGCTAGAAACACAAATAAATAAGTGCAAAATTTAAATCTATTTCTTGCAGGACAGAAACATCACTGGCAAATGTTTTACCTCGTGCAAATCAAATGAAGTTATGCATATGAAGAATAAACACATTTAGAGGAAAGACAAATGAATGAATAGAGTATCTTGACTAGCAATTAGTTTCTGTGCCCAAGTACCATCAGCGCAGAATTGATGAGCAAGGTAACCTTTGGCTGCACTTTAGCAAGTTCTTCATTAGTTTTCTGGCTTTCCTTTTCATATATTTTACTTCTTTCACAGACACGCTGGGGAAGATGATCCACCTTGTTTGCACCAACTAGGTGTACCACGTAGAGCCTCATTCTGCTAGCACCATATTTTCTTCTAGCAAAAAACACTATCTTCTTCACAGGCCTGTCTTCTAACAAGGGAAGGCAAAGGAAGAGAAAGTTTCGTTTCCCTGTTTTCACAGATTGGAAAGCAAACCACTCAAGAGACTAAATAACTGAAGGTCGCCCTGAAGGTCAATGGTTTTGAACTGAATGCCTTTGAATGGAAATGAGTAACACTGTTATTTGCGCCTCTGGAAATCTCTCTTTACATGCCCAGAGACAGAGAAGGGATATGCTGGCTCCTGGGGGAAAAGAGGTGGTAAGACAATTAGAGATGTCAGATGAAGCTAGGTAGGTTACACTATCATCTGTTAGTAGACTGCTCTAGTCTGTAATTGGCTGAGATGCCTCCTTTGAACATTTGCCTGACATTAGTGCTACTCCAGGCACCAAAGTGTAAGTGCTCATAGAAGGGAGGAACGTACATGCCCTGTTTGTTAATGTTCTGCACAAGAGAATTATCTGGGAGAACAGGGAAGTTTATAGATCTGTCATTCGTATACTAGCTAGAATTTAATTTGAGCTTTACTTCAAACATTTCGTTTCCACATATTTTCTTCTCCATCTCACTTCTCTCCTTGTATCATGTATCTCTGTATCTCTCACTGATTTGGTGCCACTGAGCCAAATGATAATGATGAAAGCTGTAAGGGAAGGCAAAGTTTTTGGCATTCTTGCAGCACCTGTACTACTTTGAAATGTCACAATTCAAGGTATGATTGAGTGACTTAACAGTTACTGAAGTCCTCTAAAAGAGTGGTATGTACTTCTTTAATTCCTCTGGGGAAAGAAAAGGTTATAGGCCATCAGCCACAGAACGTCAGAAGGAGCAGAGATACAGAGCCGGTGACATGAAGGCATTAGGAGCCAGCCAGTAGAACTGCAGGAAATTGGGATGCAAGGAAAGGCAGCCTCAGGAACAAATACAAAAGATGTGCTTCCCTCAGTTAACTTGTAGCATGAATTGTATGGACTATAAAACTGTTCCTCTCTGGTCAACAGCAACCTGCAAGTAAATAAACCTGCTGTGCTATTCTGGGTTGCACAGGACACCTTTTGCTTTTTAGGATTAAGAAATGGTCAGAGCGCAAAAGTGTTTAGCACATATTTGAAGCTTTACTTCAAAGTCCAGCTTATAACATTCTTTACAGTCTTTATTCCATAATTTTCTGCCTTCCACTCAAAAACAATATATTCTGAATTGTCTTCTGCTCTTGGATTCAAACCAGCTGTAAAATGCACTCCGGGAGGAGAGCTGAGGAGTGCTTAATTAGAGAGAGAATGTATGACCACTCTCTCAAAATGGGCATCTGATCTAGCCTTGGCACTGTCAGAATAATGCTGTATCAAACAGTGCTCTGCATAGCAAACCTCTGAGGTGAACTCATTATACTGTCAGCAACAGAAGTTGCCATCTTCTCAGAGAGATCAGGCATGACCAGCAGAAACGGATGCAAATTTTAGCTAAATTAAAGCATGTGGCACTCCTTAAAAAAAAAACAAAAACAGACTGCATAAAACATTACCTTCTCATGCATTTGATCTGCTCCACACATGTACCAAAACCATAGCTCTTGCTTTTAGTGATAAAAATAAAATGCTACTGTATTTCACTCCAGTGGAATGACAGAAATAGAAAATATGGAACTCCACAATGCCGTTTTCATAAACCTTTTTCAGAAGTGAACTGGACTTTGACAATTTTTTTAAACATCCTTAGGAATAAAGAAAGGCATACATACACATACTTTTTTCTCTTGGAAAACTGCATATAAAGGAAATGTAAGAATAAGCAACGCCTGCCCAGGGACCAGCTATTTTGACGTGTGTTCAACAGAGGGAAACACAATACTAAAAGGAGAAAAAGGTTCTCCTATAACCTTGGTATCAAAGCCCAGCACCTGGGCTTTATGCAGACATTTGACAACATGGCATCACGGGATGATTCAGGCTGGAAGGGACCTCAGGAAGTCTCCAACCTCTGTGGGCAACCTGTTTCAATGCTTGAGTGTCCTAGTGGTTAAAGAAATGTTTCCTTATATCCAGGCCTGAACCTTTCCTGCTCAATTTCTGCAGACTGAACAAAACCACTTCCCTCAGCCTTTCCTCACGGGGCAAGCGTTCTAGTCCCTTAACCATTTTGGTGGCCCTCCACTATACTAGCTGCAGTTTGTCAGCATCTTTTTTGCATTTGGGAGCCCAAAACTGGACACAGTGTTCTAGGTCTAGTCTAATGAGTATCAAGGAATTATGTCCCACAACCTACTGGCTCTGCTCCTGTTAATACAGCCCAGGATGCTGTTAGCCTTCTTCACTGCCAGGGCCCACAGCTGCCTACCAAGACCTCTCAGCTCTTCCTAGCAGAGCTGCTTCCCAGCCAGTCAGTTCCCAGTCTATATAATTGCAAAAGGTTATTCAATTCCAGATGTGGACTCTGCATTTGTCTTTTTTGAATTTCATACGGTTCCTGTTGACCCATATCTCCAGCCTGCCTAGATCCCTCTGAATGGTGCCCCTGCCCTTGAGTGTATCAACTGTTCCCCCCACTTTTGGTACCATCTGCAAATTTGATGAGTGTGCGCTCCAACACTTCCTCCAGATCATTGATAAAGATGTTAAACAGGACAGGTTCCAGTATAGTCTTCTGCAGTACTCCACTTGTTACTGACCTTCAGGTAACTAAGACCCATCAACCACTCTCCTCTGAGCTAAGTCACCCAACTGGCTGGACATGCACACATGCCTATCCATAAAAATGCATGGACTGCAACTGGCATAGCTGGCTTCAGTTACTTGGAAATTAAAGCAGCATGGCAGCATGCAAAAGCAAGGATATTTCAAGGTAATTTCATTAGCAATAAAAACTGGCTTTATTTCCTCTAAAAACCCAAACATCCAGACCCCCCAGATCTCCTAGAATCTACTAGAAAAATGTTCAATGGTATTTGAAAAAAACATAGCATATCTTTAAGTTGGAATACTCACATCACTTCTAGTCGAGCCATTCTGGAGTCATTTCCTCCAAAAGAAATGACCTCGCAAGTATAGTCTCCGATGTCACCTGACCATGTTTGGCTGATGAGGAGGGTTCCACCTTTCTCTACTGTAATCCTGGAACTGCTGGATGGATTTATTACAACACTGTCTTTCTTCCAAACATACCTAAGTATCACAATGTTTCAGTTAGTAAATACTAACAATAACTTTAAAATATATTTATTTGAACTGCTCAATAAGATACTAGCTTCTGCAACTATACATTAAAAATGACAGGCCCCTAGAGCTGCTTTCAAGAACAGTACCTTTTACCAAATCTTAGTTTTATATCAGTGATCAGAATGAGAAATGTAATTACACTCAGGATACAATATATTTCATAAATAGTATTACAGATTTTACATGGAAATAGTGAGTTACCCCTAAATGACCAAGTTCGTAAGTCTGCCTTCATCAGCAGTTTAAACTGAATCATTAAACTGTGAAGTTAATGACTGAGGTGTTGGCCCGTGTCTGCTAAGGCTGTAATAACCTTAGACTGCCATAATCAGTAACATCTTAAACTACCGTGGCAAGGTAATCTGTTAAAACACATTCATAACAATACATCACAGAGAAGTATAGACTCCATGGTCCATAATTACTTTTACATAGTATTTTTATACCTGTATTTCTCTTTTTTAATTTCTTTCTGCAGTTCACCATTCTAGCACCTTCCAAGCTGTTCCCTGCATTTTCTTTCATTTGTTTTGCTTTCAGAGTATATAAATTTTCATGTTAAATTTATTTTTAAATGGTGAGCTTCCTTTAAATGCTCTAGTGCAAAGAGATAACTTTAGACAAATTCTGTTTGCCTTTACACTATTGGAGCAGAATGTAGCCCCTAGTTACTGAGCTTTTTCCAAGAACATGGGCATTTCTTGCATCATTTTAATGCATCCCAATGTAAATACTTCTGAAATCCTTTTCCTTCTCTTTGGCTTTTACTCTCATTAAGTATCAGCTTCTGACAAGTTGGTTTTATTGATAGTGTATTAACCTTGACAGTAAAATCATGGAAGGCTGTATTGAAGTCATGAAGTGGAACACAACTCATTGTAAATAATACATAAGGCTGGAATGGAAGATGGGATTTATGTGATTAACGGTATAGTGTACAACCTTATAATGCAAGTATCAGGGGTGTGGTGTTAAAATCTCGGGTACTGAAACTTTTCAGCCTAACGCTATTCCCACAGCTTATGAAATTAAGCTCAGATAAACCACGCAAACAAGAAGTGACACCACCAACCTGACTGAAATTCGAGGATCATGAGTTGCCTCACATCGCAGAGTGGCTGTGGTTCCTTTGATCACCGTGCTATCCTCGGGAGGGTGAACAATAAAAGTCCGATCTGAAAAGAATACAAGCTGCAGTTCAGGTGAAATTACAGCATTGTGAGTTGGGTAGTCACTCTGAGAGCAGACAATCGAACGCTTATCATTCAAAGCAAGCAGGCCGTCTCTCTTCATGTCTTTTCTGCAAAGGCCCCCCCACCCCCAACGGCATTGTGTCGGGAGGAGGTTGTACGCTGCGGGGCGCGCAGAGCTGATGGCAGCACAGGGCACGAGCCTGGGCTGGCAGCGGTCTGCGCAGGAGGAGCGCTAACGCTGTACTAACTTGCGCTGTGCTAAGTGTCTTTGGCAACTCCCTAAAGTCATAAAGCCATGTGTATGTTTATAATGCTAGGCGAACACATAAAAACATACATTTAGTCAGGAAATAAGGCGTACTGTTTTGAGTAGGGGAGACAAAAATAAACAAACAAAATCTGGGCAAAAGAAGAATATTCCCGAAAACACTCAGCAAAAGGAAAACGCAAATGGCACCCTAGAATCTCGTCAAATCTATGAAAGAGGACAAAGGAGGTGGAGTTGCTGGGAGCATGAATTTTCCATATAAGAAAGACATGCTGTTTACTCAAATGTTGCAAAACATCTTTATTCAAGCACCTCCTAGAGACCCAGAACACAATAATTGCCTGTAACTACAGCAACCAGATCTAGTGTGAAAGATCTCTACTACGCTCAGCACACCGTAGCGGCAGCAGATAGCATCAGCTGAAGCAGCTAGACAACTAGGACAAGAATAGAAGATAGGTGGCTAATGTTAATCAGTCCCAAATCCCTGCAGAGATAACCAGTAGCTACTGAGATATTGCATACCCGCACAAGAAGCAATCATCAGTGAACTCAAAGGCAAACATGTAGAGATACCACCAATGGCTGTATCTAACATCTGTTAATTTTTAGCATTATTCCAGGTGTACCTGTGTATGCCTTCTAGCTTCATAATGTTGCTAAACAAGTATTATTAGGTTACATTCCATTCCTGCCCCTCCGGTCCCCTCCCCAGTAGTACAATGAACAGGAGCTACCTTTAATAGATATTAGCACCATTCCTTTGAGACTTAATAATGTGGAACCCCTTTGTACACCTGGATAGCAAACAGTTTGCAATATCCTCACACATATAGCATCTTTGTTTTGTCAGTATGGCATAAATATGATGGCCATATGACACGTGTACACTACTTTTACTGCCAGTATTGTTTTCAGGTATTCTCAAGTGCAAAGGCAAAACATTGCTGATGTAACTTGGACTGTTTGGGGATTAATGGATGTCAAATACGCACCATAAACCAGCATCATAATCAGTCTCAGGGGCTGTATGTCAAGGAGATTAGAAGAGAGAGGGCCTCTGCACTTTTATATTCATTACCATTACTGTCTTCATTATTTTTAATTATTTTTAGTCTCAGCTCAAGGATTGTTATTTCCTACCGTTAGTAGCAAAAACCTGTTACGCTTTAACATCTTGGCTCCTGCTCTGGATTAGTCACATGGAACCTGTATTTTACCTCTCCCATATGGCAGTGTCACTTAGGAATAACACAGGTGAAACTAACAGAATAGATTCTCTACACTAACAGAGAAAAATCAAGTGGAGATGAAGGGCAAACGGTGAAGAGCAAAATCTTTTCATGGGCTGCCCTGTGCCCTGGCAAGCTGTAGCAGGAGTCTGCTGTACTTTGCTTTGGCTTCCAACAATGCCCAGGGCCACAAAGAAACACAGAGGTATGAGGAAAATCATACCCACAGTAGCTGGGACCACAGCCTTAGCAACAGCACGGGCCGATCTACGCTGTCTGCAGGCTCCTGGAGGCAGAAGTCACTGCAAACAGCCAAATCTGCAAGTTACAGGACTGACGTACAGCGCAGGCCCAGTGAAGATTCACCAAGGTAAAAACCTGAGTGAAACGGTAATTATGATCAGATGCTCTAATTTATTTAAATATAGTTCCCTTCATAAAATATACAAGTTTATATGTATAACTTTACAAACAAAAAAGATACTTCTGATCGGTTTCCTAAAAGAGATACATTATTCCTATTAAATTATACAAGTATCTCTACTAACTAGAAAAGCATAACTACGTATGAAAATTTCCTGAGCATACACCAAAAACTGATTAATACTCGATTAAAGTTAGACTTTAAACAAAGTATTATCCTTACTCCACACTGTCAGCAGCACAAAGGCATTCAGGGCTCCTTCAGAATTGACTGCGTAGCAAGTATAATTGCCAGCATCCTGAAGGAAAACGGGTGTTATCTGGAGCCCTCCTGATTCAAGAAGAATGAACCGAGGAATCTGCACTGAGCCGCTGGCTAAGATCTGGTTCCCTGAAACAGAGAAGGAAAAAACCAGCATGACTGTTGTCACTTAGACGGCAAGGATTAAGCACAACAATCCCTCTGCTCACCGAACCAAAGAAATCAAGAAATACGTGCTAAATGGATCTACAGTATCTCCACAATAAGAATGGGCAAGAAAACAGCTTTTCCACAACAGCATGAAGCTGGTTACCTCTCTTCCATGAGATGGCAGGTTTTGGAGCCCCTGAAACTTCACACGTTAGCACTGCAGTCATCCCCTCGGTAACAGTAGTATCCACTGGAGGCTGTAGAAATGCTGGTTTAATGTCTAGAATCAAAAATTTTAAAAATTCAATGGATCAGCTATCAGAAAGATCTCCGACCTATTATCATGGACTGTTTTACATCCACTTTTATAGAGCTGATCATGGAGAAGGACATGACAATAACACATGAAAACCTTTCAGCAGTGACTAACCTTTCATTATTCATCTCCTAGGAATTATCTAACTCAGTTTATTACCCACATGGAAAATAGAAATCTATCAGTGCTTGCACATGTACAAGTAAGATAGCTTACAGATAAAGAAGGATAAAGTGCTAAATGAGTGTTTGGGGGAAAGTTGAGAAATCTAGATAAACAAAACTATTTTCTTTCATCTTCGTAACCCAGAGTTCTTTAAGATGAAATGCAACTTGAGAAAGGCATTAACTTTCAAACTTAAATGTCAGCCAAAAAAATTCAGAATCTGATTCCCATCCAAGACATTTTCCAAATTTCATCCTCTCTTATCTGCCCCCCCAGGTGCATTTTATTACATTTTTTGCTGCAGTTTCCTACATGCATATTGAACTGGGGCTGTTCTATTTTCTAAGCTCAACAGGTATTCTGGTCAGTACTTGTAAACTGCCCCAGGGTTAAGTATCAGCTTCCTGAAGATGAAACATCATGGCCAAAATCATCTATGCTCTCATGGAGTTAAAGTATTATGGGTATACCCGTTTATAATTGTTTTTAAAAAGAGAATATTAGTACTTGGAATTTTTCCACAGATAAGAGTACTTGATTAGCCAAACCATTTAATCAGACTTTTTGGCCAAAAAAGATATTTAACTTGGATTTTCTTTGTTTTCCTAACAAAATGTTGACAAAATGCAAATAAAATGATAGCATGCAGAACTATGAAGCAGCAACACAAATTCAGAAGAGAATTACATTAGAATAGAACTAAACTATTTAAGTATAAAGGATAGAGAAAAATATTTCACAATTAACTTTTCTTTTTTTGCACTATATTTCTCCTTTTGTAGAATGAAGTAAGAGAGCTCATCCCAACCCACTAGTGCCACAGAAATATTTTCTACAGGCTTCAGTACACTCTGTTCAGGCCACACAGGGAATTTTGGGTATGTGACAGCTAGAACACCTACACTTTATGAAAATCAAAGTTGTGTGAACGTGAATGGAACGCTATAAGCATAGAGCAGTGGAGAAATCTAACTGATTTGGGTCCCTGTCATTTTATATGATAGCAGAAATGACAGCACAACTCGTGACTCTCTGTTGTAGCTCCTTACTCACTAGTTACATCCAGGCAGGTGTACGTCTGCATCTCCCCAGCTTTATTACTTGCAAAACACTGGTAGATCCCAGAGTCCTCAGGCTGCAGCCCGTGAATCCGCAGCCCACCGCTCAGCAGTACTTTGTAGCGAGGGTTCTGCAGCTTGCTCAGAGGAACTGAGTCCTTATACCAGACCAGGGTGGGAACGGGGACACCTATATCACAACAGAATTTCATCGTTAGTCTATGCACAATGCATTTTGTGTAGTCGAAATACATGGCATTATTATGGTTATATCACTGGTATCCCATCCTTCCACACCAATTATTTATATTTCTACAAGCTGCTTTTGATAAATGGATGCTGCAACTTGCATTATCAATGGCAATAATATACTGTAGAACACGTGGGAATAAAACCAGCAGTGAAAGGGGAAACGTTGAGGAAACATGTTATCAAATTACTTTGTTCACCCAATCATATTTCATGCTACCACAAAATAAGATTTAGAGCAATTTTATATTGAAAGCTAGAATCATGTTACTTAAGCAGCAGCAACGTGGTAATACTGCAAGTCTATAAGACTGTTCCGCCCCAAATACGATTCTTCTCTGCTACTGTAGCTAAGATGTCAAAATAAAAAGAAAATGGCAAGTTACACGTAAAAAAATGAAGTGCTCACACGAACATATCCGAGTCCTAATTTGGCGGTTCACTTTAGCTGATGTGCAAATACCATGTTGTAAACAATGAGATAGCTTTAAATTATTATTTCTATTTCTCAAGCTTAATTTGTTTTTGAAAAATGCAGATATTAACAGAAACAAAACTATTACATCTATTCTGAACACAACTTATTGTCCCATTTATTCCTGTTTTTTTTCATGTGCATGTTCTACAAACACTGACACAGTTATTTCAGTTCTGCTGCAGTCACATCCCAGTTAGCTAGGATAAAGTAACTGTACATTTAGCATTTACAATTAGTGTAGGATTCCCATTTCTTGGAGAGTCATTAGGGACGCAGAACAGTCACATATAGGTATTCCTATCTCACTCCCCCTATCAGACACTGTTTTGTCTTTACAGTCTGGAAATCCCTAACTCTTCCTGATCAAATGCTGGGGGCTCTGTGCAGGGGTCTGAAGTGAAGTAGGTACTTTGTTCTGCGATTGGATGACCACAGGATCAGAAGGGTTTCAAGCTCATCAAAATACAGTATTTGCATAATTGGTAGCTATTTTTAACACATATCACTTAAAACCTTGGTGCTTCACATTCCCTTGTAATAAGGTGAGAACAGCAGTCACCTGTATCATACTGAAACTGTGAAGTTTTATTCATCGGTGAGTGAAATTTGCCCAAATAGGGTGGAGCACTGTATCACGGAAGCATTAAGAATGGGATGCAAGCAATGAACTGACCATGTGCAGACAATGAATTTCACTGTAATGTCGGCAATGCCTTAAGGTCCTTAGAGGCAAAGCACTACAGGACGATCCATATTATCACCATTATTATTTTAAAAGTCCCAGAATTAAATACTACTATATTATATGCATCTGTATCTCCTTTCAATTTACTTGTTCTCTGTACACAGACAAAAGCTGTATTAACTCCTAGAAAGACTGTACAAACAATATAAGGAAGGAATGAAAAACAATTTTATAAACATGCGTCATTTACTACAATCACCTCTGAAGCTTTTGTTCTGTTGATAAAGTAAAACGTACTCCTAATCTAGGAGGTAATCATCTCAGGAAGAAACTCACTATGTAGAGCGCGTTGTCTGACAGAGAATAGACGTAGTGCGGTAGCTTGCAATACACATAATTTAAATTTCATACAACAGCCCATGTACAGAATTAGTGTAAATTTCAGTGTTCACAATTCTCGGTGAGAGCGTTATTCATCTCTTGAAAATCCTCCTGGGCAAATACAAATTATCACCGAGTAATGAAGAAACAGATGATCAAAATGGGATAGTTCTCTGGATGCAGAGGAGCCTGGAAATGATGTCAAGTTTAAATAATCGCAATTCCATTTTCCCACACATCAGGCTTGGTAGGCACCTTGGAAATAATGAAATCCTGCATTCAGTACTTCAGACCTTTAACACTGGTGTCATTCCATAAATCCCATTCTACTAACAGCATTAGCAAACCTCCTAATCCTATAATCACTGTGAGATGCACCTTCCTATCACCAGTGCAGCTGACAAACTGAGTATTACCATCTCTATTTTTCTACATTTTGGTTACAGATATCTTCCTCTGCTCAAAGTTATGAGTCCGAATAACAGGATCTTATCAAAGCATGCTGGAGCCTGTCAGCAGCATTCATTTGGGCTTTCGTGATCATCCTAGAGAGATTTGTCTTCAAAGTTGTACAAATTTTCTATTTTCATTTTGCTACCTCTTTAGCTATAAATATAATTAAATCTAGTCTCTTCTCTTTTACCCCTCTTCTAGTCCCCCTTTCCCTTAGGAATTTTCCTTCTCTTTCTCTCTAAAGCCTTCTGGTGAAAAAATGAAAAGAAGAAAATACTTTAAAGACCTGTTGCACTACACCTTCTCTAACTTCCCAGCATGTATACAGTGCTTTTCATTTTTCAAAGAGAGGCTGACAAACTAATCTAGTGTTACAGAGGAGACTGGAAGCCGGGAAACTGAGACTTTGCTTCTGGCTCTGCCATTTTCTCCGTAACCTTGGGCAAGTAATTTATGCAGTCTGAGGCTCAGTTTCCCCGTCTGTGAAACAGATGCTTGACTCTTTGCCAATTTTAACTTATTTAAGAAGCTGGATAAAAGACTCTAAATACTCACAGTGTCATTTTTGTTATTTTTTTATTGCCTTCACTAGCTCCCAGTGGGCTACTGGGGAGTCCCAAAAGCATCCTTCTTTGTACTTGTCTAAACAGGTAGAACTAAAGTCCAATTAACTGTGCTCCCTAGACACCACCACTGCCTGCAGCTCTGAACTTTCTATAAGCAAATAAGAAAAGCATTTAAAGGAAACCCAATGAAAATGCAGGCAGCATCAGCGAGTGCTGAAAGATATACAACACAGCATGGTTACAGTGCAGTCTGATACACTGAAACTCCATTATAGGCAAGTAAAAAGCTAGTCTGTGCAAGCTGCAATTTTATTTACAGTTAATCTCTGCTTATATTGTGAAATTAATCTCTCTCTCACACATTCAAAGCGCACAAAGCCTGAGCAAATGGGCTGTGTGCACAAAGCGCCATGGGGCTGGGAGAAATGCAATCCGCCCTCCTATTTGCAGCGAAGGTGCAGGGCAGCCTCGCGTTCCCCTAGAGCTATTACTCTAGCTCCTAGCTTGGAGTAGGGGGGCGGCAACCTTCACTTATCCTTTTCTGAGTGCAGATTTGTGTAGTAATGGATTGAAAGGCCCCTATACTTAGGTACTGTATGGAGCTAGTACCTGCCCCTTACAAGCCTGTGATGTAGACAGTTAGTAAAATTATCTATGTGAAGACGAGTTTCCATGCTCCCATTCATCAACAAATTAGAGGTGCACTGAAAGAGTTCAGCAGAAATAAATTATTTGGCTCTAGTAAGGACTCCCATATCTCAAATAAAACCTCATCTACTGAGAATGATTATTACTGCCCTATTAATCCCCTTGGGAGCTAAATTGCTCAAAAGACGAGTCAGAACAGAAGGCAGAGTTAGAAATCACCCTCTTATCTCCCTGACCTCTCAAGGATTTTTTTTTTTTAAATAAATGAAAAACATCTTAGACAGCAGACAGCTTTCCCACAGTGATGGTGAAACAATCCAGAGACTGATCACAGTTATGTACAACTGAAACATTTTTGGAAAAAACTGAGAATGCTTTTTTAATTCAATTTCCCTAATGATACAATATTTGGTTTTAATTCTGCTACTTGACAAATCTTCTCCAATAGAAGATGCCAGCATGTTTGACATACACATGCTGAAACATAAAGATGGTAGTACATGGCCAGAATAAATGCCTATCTATTCATATACCGTTCCTTTGAAATTGGCTTGTCTTGGATGCTCAGGCACAAAATGAAAGAACAAAATAAGGACGGAATGCTATTTCCACTTCTTCAGCTCCAGTAATCTGTGCTTTAGCTACTTTCTGAGCCACGCGTTGCACACACACAACTGTGTTTAACAGTCCTTACTAGGTTTTTCTTCCACAAATATATTTAATTTTGTTTTTCTAAACTATTTGTATTTCTGATCTTAACTACTGCCTGTAACAATGACCTCCACAGTTTACATGTTTTTTGAAAAAATATCTTGTTTTTTATACATCTACTACCTGGAAATGTAACTGAGTGCCTCCTCTACGCTTGCAGTAAAAAAGAGAGAATCACCTTTTTCTAATCACCTTTCCATATGGTAACCACCATTCACTGATCGCTTTCCTGAAGAGTTCCAGTCTATTTAATTTTCCATTATTCAGGAACCACACTAGACCTCTAGTTATACTATTCCTACTTTTCTGCACCACTTCTAGTTTTTCTATACCTCTTTCTCCAACGGAGCAATTAGAACTGTGTAAAGTCTTTGAGATGGGGGTGCCCCGTGGTTTCACACGGTGCTGCAGTGATATTCTCTGATTTTTTCTATTCCTTTCTTCCCAGTACTTAACATTTTGAATCATAGGTTGGCACTGACCTGATCTTTCCAGAAGACATAGCTTTTCTGAATTAGCAATAGCTAATTTCATCTCTGTCATTAATTCCACCTGCAAGTTTACTGCCCAGTCACTTTGAATCATTAGAACCTTCTGCGACTCATCTCCAGTCAATTTTAATTTTGATTACCTTGAATATTTTCATATAATCAGCAAATGTTTTCATCTGACTGTCCACCTCCTTTTCCAGGGCATTTATGCATATGGTGACTAGCACAGGTTCCAGTTCCTGGGGAGCACCATTGACAGCAGGTCTCTGCTTTGAGAACTGAGCATTTGTTCTCTTTAAAAAGTCATTAATTCACAAGGAGACCTGGTCTCTTATAATTTGATCACTTAGTTACTCGAAGAGCCTTTGGTAAGAGACCTCAAAGGCTTTTGAAATTCCATATCCACAGGAGCACCCTTACACACGTGCTTGCTTACTGCACTGACAGATTTGTAAAGTGTTGACTCTTTCCTACATGGAAAGCACAAAAAATGCTTAAATCGTAATGGAAACAATATAATCATGCAATAAAGAGTATTTTATGTGGCCCTGATCCGAAGAAAGAATGCAGCCAAATAAACTGTCAGTGTTGCAGAGTGTTTGTTTTGGGTTGTTTTGCTTGTTGTTGTTGTTTTTTTTTTTTACAAGACTGCGTACTTTTTACCTAAGGATTTCAAAGCATTTATATGCATACTGCCTATTAACCTCAGCATCTGGAAAAATGAGGCACCAAAAGGCTAAGTAGATTGCCAAAGTGACATGAAAATCCATTGAGAGAGTCAAAACTTAATATCCAACTTTATTAACTTTTAATTATCTGCTTTAATCACAAGACTACGATGCTTCCTATTTTTCAGAGCGCTAAAATAGGATGTGCTTCTATTTCTATGGAATTAATCTTAAAAAGCATTTTATTTTAGGTGGAATTATAAACATTTGAAGGCATTTATGTTATTAAAACACCTTCCAATTAAAAACTGCCTGAAACAGTCCTTCTGCAGCAATCTAACTACACTTAAATATTACAGCTACTGACATTCTACTCAGTGTAAAAGCTCCACAATTTTTACAAGGAAGCTGAAACAAGGAAGTTTCAGCTACTGAATTCACTGACTGTTTGTATTGCAAATGATGGGTTCCAAAACCATACCTCTACCTCAGCCCATTTACCGCCTCAAGACACTGATTCTTGTCAAGCAACGAGAACTACGAAGTCAAGCTCACGGAAGGAAAGGAGCAGGCGGTGTCCTGCCCAACAGACAAACATGAACGTGCCTGCCTTACACCCATCAAAACTAAACTAAAGTAAAAGGACTGTCCATTTTCCCAAAGGCAGAGGACATCCTTCTGGCAGAAGGAAATTCTACCTTATAATCACCAGACCAGTGATAGTTAGTAATTATATACAGGCCTCAGATCATTAGAAGTTGATATAAGATGCTTTCACCAGTACAGACTATGCACCTCTCTCTCATGCAAGCTTCGGTTCTTCTGCACACTCACCCATAGCTTGGCACAAGATGTCCACGTCTTTCCCCACTTCAGCCAAAATCCGACTCTCAGGCTCAGCAGTAAAATATGGTGGTTCTTTAAGACCAGGGAAAACAAACAAAAGTAAACAAAAAACAGAGCAATATAAAAAATGGATGTTGATTCAAAGAATTTCATATAATCTCTCCACAAGCATTGCATTTAATACAGTGTATTACCAACAGAGTAGTTTGTCTCCTTTTGGGAGCTCTTTTTTTTTTTCAGTAGTAAAAGCATCATAAAAAAGTCAACAATTATTTGCTGTGATGAATATGAATTTCAAAGAGAGGCAAGTCAACGTCAGGTGAGATTTAGGGTTTTGCACAGCAAATTAATACTCAGAGCAGGGGACTACTTTTCACTTTATAGGTTTGAATCATGGAATGTTTTAATTCTCAGTTCAGAAGAGCCTTCCCGAGAGGTTTATAAAGGTTTATATTTACAACATAGGATTTTATAGGATAGTTTGCTTCAGTATCTAAACTAAACACCACCTCATGAAGGCATGAAGGCATGAAGCATGTCAAATAAAGTGCCATAACTTGTCAGAGAGCCTATATCAGAGGATAAGTGCAACATAATTAAAAAAATTCTCCTCAACAGTTTTATTTCTTGAAAGCAAACAGATTTAATGCTTTAATTGAAGTTACAGTAATAACCACAAAAACCCACACTTTATCATTAGGACTAAAGAAAAGATATTGGACGTTTAATTAAACAAAGACAAGATTCCAGAAACTGTAGAGCATGCTGTCATGTAACTCTTTCTTCTATGCAGCATAAGATTGAAGAGCATCATGTCAAAATCCCACAGGCATTAAGGTTGCAGTCATTATCACGGTAACTAACAACTGTCATAGTCTGTTCAATGCAATTATCATTTGAGTACTGTTTTTAGAAGCATTTCATTTGATTATAACTACAGTTCTATTGTAGTCTAGGCAAACTGACTGTGAAGTTTTAAAAAATACAGACAAGGCAATATAAATGGCTTGTAAGAACAAGTCGCTTGTATTTTCATCTTAAGGAATTCAAGTAGATTGGAAAAAAATGTAGCAAGCTCAAGCAAGATCCAAGGTCATCTAAGATGATCTTTTCTCAAAGCTCTTCACCAATCATACGTGAAAACCACACGTGTTGTTTGTATTATTGATAGGACATAACTTATTTTCACAAGTGAAAATAAAATCACATCAATTTATCCTGCAAATATCCTGTTATTTCTCCTGCTATGACCTGTAGTATAGCAAGCGTTGCTATCAGCATTTCACAGAGTGATTATACGACGTGCCAGCAAGTACACAGCGGTAACCACCAGGACTACGACTCCGAACGCACTCACAGCATGCCTTCCCGCTAACTACAATAAAATACTTGCTTGAGTGCACAGAACTGGGATCCCTTTTGGGCTTGGATGGATATTACAATTCTGTATTCATTCCAAATAAAGTCAATCAATACTAGTCTTCAAAATCTTGTGCAGAGGAGAAGGTAAGGTTGCAAAATAGCCTGGAATATGCTTTTACCCAGCAAAACCATTAAACCAAGCTACATGATTTATTATATTCTAATAATATACATGTGTTAACATTATTGATCCTCACTGCCTAAATATAAAGCTATTAATAAACATACATAATAAGAGGTGATTTATTGCACATGATCTCATGCATTAATCTAAACAACAAATTGAAAAGCTGAACATTTAATTGAAAGTCACTGATGGAACACAGTGTTTGACATGTTTGATCATCTAAGTTGCTGAGCCCTCTGCAATCCATCTGAGTCCGTGTCTGGGTATCGTACACTTTTCCTTTTTGTGCCCCCTCCAAGCCACATCTGATGCTTTCCTTGAGCTCCAGTTCCCAGAATTTTATTTTTCTGGTTTCCAAATTTTTAGCCTAGTGTCCTTACTTATCTATCTGTCCACCTGGCTGACCTCTCTTAAAATAAATTTTGAACCTCTTGTTCTATTTCAGTGTATTTGATTGTGAGGGGTAAGGTGGCCAAAGCAGCATAGAAGCAAGTGAGCACCCAGGCACATATCCCTACACCCAGGCCTTCTAACTTTGCGCTTCTAGCTATGGATGTCTTTTCTGTCAGTGAGGCTCCTGCATATTTTCCTCTTTTTAGGGGATTACTGAATGTACCCCTTTTACCCTCCCCTTTCTATGGCACTCTAACCTCAACAGGCCAACTTTTAAACCTGGCAACCTTCAGCTGCCAGCTCTCAAACTTTCTCCTGGATCAGCAACATATTCACACATCAGCGATAAATTTGCAGATTTATCTTCAACATGGGCCCGCAGTCCAGCTGCAGAGCAGTTAAGGTGACCTCAAAGATGCTAGTGGCTCCATGACCACTACTTATGAACTACTGTTCATAGCTGCTGCAGATACACTTGGCATATTTATTTAGCCTGCTTTCCCCCTCTTCAGCCTGTGCTCCTTCTTTTAAATACCATACAGGTTGTTCTGCTACCCTGGAAGAAACTGATTATAAAAAGAGATGTTTAAGTGAGCTGGCTATCAAGCAGTGAATTACTGGAGAAGAAACTTGAAGTCACTGATAACTGTTGCCTCGCAAATGGGACTGTTATAAAAGGACGATTCACACCAGCTTTTCTGAAAGAAGCAGGAAGACACTGCAGCAGATAAGACAGAGCAGTAGATAAAGGTCTTGGGTCTAAAGGATACAGGCCAACTCAGAGAGGCTATGCAGGGCGATACCTTCCACGCCAACGGCGCTGCTTTTCCACATGCCTGTCTCTTACACAAGCAACACCAATAGGTCCTTTGCAGGCTCCATTTTACCTGCCCACTGCACTGAGTAGTGAGGGTCTACAGCTTCAACAGAACTGAGACTGCTGAAGAGATTAAACAGAAAGGGCTCCAGTTACAGATCCTAGAAAACTGAAAGCTAGGCTCCCCACGTCTAAGAAGTCAGGCATATGATCGGTATACGAGGGGTGTGCCTCAAGGCCTAGAGACCTGTTGCAAGGGCAAAATTCATGGGACCTGCCTTTGGGCGTTGTATAACGCTTGCTGGATATCTGTCAGGAAGAGGCCACAGAAAACAGCAATATTCACAGGGGTCAGATAGCATTCTAAAGGGGCACTCTGGCTTTGTATATACGGCTATACTGCATATTTGTAAAGCTTGGTTTTGATCACACAGTGTGAATGTGAACATTTATTGTTGTAGGCAATAATCATGTGTTGAAATTTAATATGTGTGGTGAAATTACAATGTCTTCCAAACTATCTAACATGCCAGACACAAGCCCCCGGACACAGCTATTTCAAGGAATGACAGTTCCCTCTTGGTATCAGGTCAAACATTTGATTTAAATTATAGAATCACAACGGTTAGAGGAGGAAGAGACCTATTATATCAAGTTCACCCTGCTGGCAATGCACTGTGCTGTGCAACGAGAGGGGTCATGTCTCATATTAGACTGAAAGAAATAGATACTATATTGTTCAGCTATCGTATTGGTGTTTGCCTGATCTTAACTAAAAGGTCAAGAACAAGCAAAGGGGAAAAAGAATATCTGAATATAAATGCATGCTTTTTATAGCTGTTGAGGGTTTGGGGGTGGGGGATGTTGCACTACAGACATCATTGCAAAAACAGCCTCTCTGCAAAGCCCTTGGGAGCCTGCAAAATTTGACACCGTTCTAACTTCTCCCACACAGAGTTACATGGTCACTGATTTTAACATTCAAAAGACAGCAGTCAGCATCCATTACATACCCTTCAAGCTGCATTGGAGATGTGTGACTGAATCCTAGATACCTACGTGAAAGTCAGACAGAACAGAGAAAGCCTCAGGGACTCCTCCAAAGCTGAAATTCCTGTATCACTCAGAAATTCTGGCCTGCATATTTAAGAGGAAAACTGAGCCCTAAACACGGAAGCCTTTCTCTGACATCAGCATAAACTAAGTTATTTGGTGAATACCCTGTAAAGAAGGTGGAACGGAAAACATGAGAGCCCCTTATAGGTACAAAGTCTAACTCCGGACAGAAAATCAGAGTGTGTTGGGAGAGTATACGTTGTGCACCCAGATATAACAGATTCCTTGAAGCAGGGCTTTTCTTTGCATGAGTATCAGGTTAAAACAGAAACAGATGAAAAGCTACCCTCAGTCTCTTGTTTTGAGCTTTGCATGCTCTGAGTCATGGGAAAAATCCTTTTGTCCTGGGAACAGCTGCTTTCAAAAATAGATCCCGTTATCGTCTCTGGGAACCTATGTGGTAAGTATGACTAACCGCCCTACTGCGACCTGCACTCTAAAATCCTAGAGCCCAGGGCACACAGCTTCTGTCTGCAGAACCGAAAGAAGGGGAAACTTCCAGTGCATGTCATGGGCCAAACTGGACTACCCGGAAGTCCTATTACTTCACTGGGAGATTGTCCAGGCTGAGTCCTGTGTGCATTCGGGTGCAAGGGGACACTGATATGTCAGTCTCAAGAACTTCTGTGGCTCACCAAACCAAAAGTAGTAATGATATAATGAAAGCAAAAAAGATTATTAAAGGGCTGGTCTATGAATTTCAGATAATAGTTGAACAGCTTTCAAACTCATTTCTTCCACATAACTTTCTTTTCAACAGACTACCTCATTTTTCTGCTTTGAGCCTCTGCATGCATATTTAGACAAGTCAAAAGACATTTTATATATAAAACAGCTTTCTTGAAAATGCTCACTCTTTTCTTATGCACAATACATAAACACAATCATCGCAGAAAATTTCCTTCTTCTGCTTTCAAGACATAGCGTGTATGGTTTCTGAATATCTGAACTGAAACTGTGAGGACTACTATATTCAGAGAGCTGAGGGCAAAGAACTAAGGTGGCTAGCAACAGCTTAAGACAATTTCTGTTTTTATCAGCAATATAAACACTTAATGGAAATTCATGAACAATGGCAATGCACAAAGAAGGCCCTTCTGCATCTCCACACTTGCTTCCGGCGAAGTGGAGTGAAGGGGGAATAGCCCTATAGATCATCTCAGCTTCTAGCCAGGTTGGTCCTCCAAACTAATGCTATTTATGTTTCTGATGTGTTCATGAATCCCATGACCCCATGAAGCTGTATCCTTTGTATTTTATGAGAATCAGAACAAAGAGATAGACCTACAACACTCACCTAATCTCCTGTTTTCAGAAAGAAATATATCCAGCTGGGACGTAAAAGTTCTCTCTAGGAAACACTGAGATGAGAATAATACATCTATTAATGCTGATCAGCGCTTCCAGGCACAAAACAGCACCAAAAAAGAAAGGAAATCCTCTACTGTGATTCTACATGATTCCATCCTACTCCTTTGGATATGCCAACAGGGCTTTAACATTCAGTTCTGTATAACATCCAGTCATAAAAAGCCATTCTTATTGTTTTTCTTTTTTCCTCATTTTGTTCAGATTTTACTTTCTGACTGCACCTGCTTTAAAGAGCGCTATAGTTTTCATGGTTTCACTCCTTATTCCCTTGTGTGCCTACAATTCATAATTTCCCATAGAACAATCACTTTAAAAATGACTACTGCAATTTGTTGCTACAGGAACTTGCAAAATTGGAGCAGAAGAATTTAAGATTAGCTCCGTTTGCAAATTGGTGTGCTCATGAGACGATTCTCTAAATTATTTAATCTTCCACCAGTTAGCGGTAAAACAAACGCACTCTTACCTAATCTGCAACAAATCTTCCCCAAACTGTTACTCTGCCAACTGAGGAACATGCTACCCTTTAAAAATTTAAAACAATTGCAGCTAATAAAACGAGAGTTTGGAACCCCCTCGGTTTATCTTTGCTGGAATAATATAAAGATGTTAGAAAGCTCTTTGCCACATTCAGAAGGAAACTGTACCGCAACAAAAGACTAGAGCACTTTCTTCTTGCTCATGCAGTACTACTCCGTTAGATGTTCAGATTTTTCAAGTGTTAGGGTGATCTTCATTTACAAACAGGAGAGGTACTGTCAGAAATATTCAGAAATAATTTCTGAAATACTACTGTAGGTCACAAATAGGAATGTAAGCTGGGTATGCACACCTTTGTACTAAGCTCCATCGCCTTCTACTAGAACTCTTGTCACCTTCTGAGCACACGCTCAAGTTGTGTGACTTAGCTGGGAAAAGCAAGGACTGACGTATTTGTAAAAAAAAATGGCTCTTATTAATTCAACATTTGTGATATCTTTGATCATCCATCTTTTTATCACTACCTTTGTTCTACCTGATAATAGCAAAATAATTTTTCTATCAACCCACAAAAGCTCTCATTGCTGTACTATGGAATGTCTTATTTGGTTTATCACAAGCATTTTGAAAACAAACTTGTTCCATTAACACAACTTCCTTTACCTGTTAGTCAAGACCCCTTTCTAAGCCCATGCTATATTATCCTCCCAAAGAAGCACAGCTCATTATCAGACACACTATCAACATGCACACACTACAAATATCACATACACGCAAATGGACAAGCATACTTGAGTCTCTGTAAATGCCACTCCAGTCGGTTAGGAGAAATATATCACAAAAATCCTTAGAAAATCCGTAGAATTATTTCATCAGAAGAAGGAGTAAATGTGGTTTGAATCTTTACTGTGCTTTCTTCCAGAACCTGTCCCTTTGCTAATTAAACAACAGCCTGATTCATCCCAGAATTCTACGTATGAATAAAAGTCATGAATTAACTACTAATCCTTTGATTCAGCTTCCTCTTTAAAATGAGAGATCCATCCTCCAGCTCAAGAAACTCATAAATAAAGAAACGTATCAGCCTTCGATGACACATTCAGTAAACACCTGCACCTGAAGTGTCTTGTTCCATCAGCACAAAATAAAAGTAATTGGTAACCAATTTGTTTCTGCTTTCTTTCATCTGCTTGTTCAAATCCACAGGCCTTTTCATAACTTCATTCCCTGACAGCCTCTGAAAACTGCACAAGAAATAAATAAAATATCTAAAAATAAGAGTAGATAAGCTACTAAAGAAAGGCAACTTTGCTATTTTAGTATGATCCCCCTATGACTGTTTCTCATTTTTATTGTAACTATATTTAAGAATCTTTTTACATTAACCAAGAGGCTGCTTTAAGTATTGCACTAGGCTAGACTTGACAGCCCAAAGCAGCAAAATTAAGCTAGTTACAATAAAATCTTATGAGTGAGGATGAGTTTAAATCAAAGCCATAAATAAGTGAAATCTGCCTCTGCTCCTTAAAGGGAAGGGCAGCTGTGCAGTAACAATTCTAAGAAACAGAGTACGAAGAAAAAGACTGCAACCAAGCTAATAAATGTAATAGAGACATAGCGGTACAAATGAACCTGGAACTGAGCTTTGTACAAAGAAGAGCTGTTTTCTTATTTAACATGACTGCTTTAAATTGCTTTAATAGAATAGAAGCCATACAGTAGAGTCTTAAAAACTGTATTTTTCAGAAGGCTAAAGGAATGTAGACAATTGTGTGCTGAATTCTCTCTGCAATGTACTCCGGAAATTCATGTATATGAATTCTGATCAATATGAAGAGCTTGCATCATTGCCAGAGCAATAATCTGTCCAGGACACCTACACGGTTACCACTGTGACTGTTACCTAAGACCTAAACTCATATAATCAGTGCTGGCTTATCATTCTAAAACTCCACTTTTATACTAAAATTCCTCATAAGCTTTAGATTGAGTCCAGTGTGCTCATTTGCATGATTATATCAGGCTATGCACACTAACTACCATGTTCAAACTACAACCTCCCTACTACTGCAAAATTCTAGCATAACAGCGATGGCAGAAACAGGCCAGTCCCTCCCTGAAAAAGGGCTGAAATGTATTCATGCCTCTTTAAAAATATTAAGTCCAAAGCTTCCCTTGTGGTCAGAGGTCCAGGACGTAGCACTGATGCTAATCTTACTTCCTTCTCCCTTTTGTTGCTTCAGTAATGACATCTGCCTGCCTGTGCGCTCAGGAAAGTCCTTGGCCCCCCGACCGGCTCTTGCAAAAGACAATGCACAGAAGTGCTCTTAAAAGGCTTCACTTGGAATTGTAGGCACTTGACACATTAAAACTAGATGCAAGCAAGCTGCGAGTTAATCAGGATTTAAAGTAGCTAGAAGGGAAGATGTGGAAACTGCCCAGTAAGGATTTTACTACTATATTTCCCCAACTTTTCATTAAATTCATAGTTTCACAGGGGATTCAGAATCATATCAGTGTTTTAAAAAAATCTATTTGATAGATTTATATTCATAGAGAAGAACAGCTGAATTAATCTGCAAGATAACCCCCTTTCACCTCTTTTGTTCCATTCAACGATGAAAGGTTCAAATCTAAGGTGGATAAAATATTAAAATATCATTTTTTTTTCCTACTGTACCTCAGTCAAGAGCCTGTTTTACTAAAAAACACACTGCCTTGAGAATTACCCATTATAGAAAGGAAGGCTTTCGCTCCTGCTGGTTCCTCGGTGCTGTCTCTCAATTTTGCTTCACAGAAGTACATCCCAACGTCAGCAGAGGTTGGGTTGGTGATAGTGAGACGTCTCCCAAAACTGCTAATTCCGCTGGTTATTTTTATTCCATTTCTCTTCCAAGACATGCTTAGTCTCTCAACAGGTCTTCCAAGTTTAAAAAAACAAAACAAAACAAAACAGAGCCACAGCAATAAAAGAATATCCATTACAGAATAAACTTACCCGCAGTTATATAAATATTATAAAACTCCTCTAACTCTTCCTCTGTCCTAGATATTGGACATTTAGAAGTTAATCAAGATGTAAGTTCTACATATCAAGACCAGAGACTACGCAAACGGCATTATGCAAGCACAGCTAATTGATACAGCAATAGAACTTAAGGACTAATAATTTGATTTTTCCAAGCAAAAGGATATAATGAGTAAATACTGCTATGGGAATCAGCTGCATAGGAAGTGCTTTCATTATAGCTCAATTACCAAAACAATATTAACTGTATCAAGAAAATCTCTGCCCTGAGGGGAAAGTAAATCTATTGGACTTCTTATCATCCCAGGACCTCTGCTATTCACTTCCCCTAGAATTCAATGCTGTTCCTACTAGGCGGAAACTTAGCCCCATGTGCAATAGGAATGCTGCAAACTGTAGCACGTTATACATAGTAGAGCAATAATCAGTGTAAACTGAATCTGTAATAAATTACTCCACAGAGTAGAAAGTAGAAGGACAGCCTTCCTAATTTATTTATCCTTGTAACCCCGCTGCTTTGGTGATACCTGGCACTGGCCACACACTCCAGCGTGACGTCACCGCTGCCGGCTACAACGCTCGTATTCTGCGGAGGGACTACGATGACAGGAGCCACCGTGTCGGATGGGTCGCCAGCACCTACGTAGACAGAAAAAAAACTCATGAAGACTCTGGACTTCTGCAAATAGCAATGACTGAACCACCCCAGGCAAAGGCTCTTGTCAAGTGACACCGCTGCAAATTTCACTCTTCAGCCTTACCAGGGATCTTATTCTCCCGGTTAAGAGGAGATCTTCAGCGTGGCCATTTTCAATGGCTTTCATTATCCTGCACAAACACACTGTTTCAATATACCCAGCTTGGTATCATTCAAAACACATAACTCAACAAGAACTACTCCCAGATGGAGTGCAGAGGCCATTCTCAAACAGAGAGCAAATAAATTAAGCATCCTAAAGGTTTTCTATTGTCGAGCACTTTTATTTTTATCAAACACTTGCTGACTTACGTTTTTTAAGACCTTTTCATGTTTTGTTTATTCTTGCCACTTCCATAGCATTTCAAAAGAATCTGCCAATACCCGTGTTAGTTCTTTAAAAAGATTTTACCCACTGGGGAGCAAATAAGAAATTAACAGAGCAGCATATCACAGCAACTTCAATCCTCTGCTCTTATCAGCAAAGTAAATAACCCAAATCTGCTTCTCTTTTGTGAGGCATCATACTGTAAATAATTTAGCTTATGCAACAGTCAGCAGACACTTTAAAAAATGGCTAAAAGGCTGCTTGTAAATTATCACTGTGTACATTTAATAACTGAATTAAAATACCCATGCATTCATGGGTACTTTGCTTCAAGCAATCCATTTGGGAAAGAAAAATTGGCTATTTTTAAACTTGAATATGACAGTAATAAAAATTTCTAAAGATAGAGAATCCAATAAATGAAATATAGAATTAAAAAATGAAAATAAATCTAAACTGATGCAAATCTGGCCCAGCTCATCAAACGCTTTCTGCAAAGGAGTCTAACCCGTGTACATTATGGTAAGAAGAGTGGCAAATTGGCAAACGCCAGGTATGAACCCTGATGTCTCTTTTAAGGTATTTCCCTAAAGAATAGAAAATGGAAAGAAAAGTCCTTGTTTTCTTCTTTCAAAGCAACTGGCGTGCCAAAAGCTATTTGCCATGCTATTTCACTCGTTGGCTAGACAAAGCTTTGGTACTGGGGCTCAGACACTTTACAAGGTGAGTAGAGAAAACAAACCTATTTTGCAAAACAAAATTCTGAATTATAGAATGAAAAATGAAAAAATATTTCCATTTTGACAGTTTCTCAACTGGGAGCAAATAATGGACCGAGGGAGAAGAAAATTTGTACTAAAACTCGTTCTCATTTGCAACATATAAACATAACTTATATGGGATCTCACAAATCTAAAATTTTAGTAGGTTTTAGCTCTGCTCCACAACACTCCTGGAAAGGATATTATTGAGTAGCAAACCTCTCCGTGGTAGTCTTATAGGTATTCAGGACAGGAATCTCCCAGACAGTAATTGAAGAAAATAAAAAACCACTGCCAATCAGTTTAGTAGTTTGTTACTGATGAGAAGAAATAACCTCAGAACTGGGGTTCACCGCCACCCCTCTGCGCCTGGTGAAGGTTTACAACAGCAAATACTAAAAGATCAACAAACTAGGCAAAGACAAAATAGGGTAAATTGGGCAATAAACATTCCTTATCTCCATCTGTAAAAGAGGAAAACCACTTGTTCTGCTTATCAGCTCCCCTGGAAAATGGCTCAACCACCCGGAAAAACAACCCAAGGAGAGAAGCCAGCTTTGTTGTAACCTCTAGGAGTTTACCAGATGAAAAAGGTTCTTTGTGCAGTAAACAGATAAGCACAGGAAATAAAAGTGCACTTTACTCTCCCTGCAACTAGGAAAAACCTAAGGAGGTTTCTCTGACTTTATTACTAATTGCAGCAAGAACCTAAACAAAGAGTCCGCACTTATTTTCATATCATACAATCCCTAAAACAAACCTGTTAAAAATGGTCTTCTGATAAAGATTTTGAGTGGGTGAGTTAATACAGCTGTGATACAGAGAGCTCATCAAAATGCTTAGTGCTCGGATTCTGCGTACTGTATCTAGAAATGCCAGTTGCAGAAATAACAAGAACTATATATAAAACAACACAGTTTCCAAGTATTATCTAAACAGTTCCTAGGCAGCATACATATTCATATTTCATATTCAAAACCAGTTTAAGTTTCCATTTGCAGCACAAAGAAATCACTTGCCATAATTCACTTGGGTCCCAATCCTGCCCGATAAAACTCAGTAAAGACATTCCCAGGGATCCTTCTGCAGAATGGCGCTTGCAGTTTTGTTTTGTGCCTGCTGAAAATGTCAGAGGAGGAATTTAGTCCTGCTTTAGCGTAAAAATCTCAACATGGCTGCAATATGGGTTCTGTGTGTAAACGTCCACCACATCGTTTCAGAACTTTATCCTTTTGTAAGAAAACTACAGGTTAGAACCCAAGAAAGTAGCCAAGCTCCTAATATCGATAAGAAGTGTCACTGCGATTTTGTTTCAATGATGTGATACAGCAAATCAGATTGCAGTCTGCCAAGGAGGGTAGAGAGCTATTTCAAACAATCAGGTAATGAAAAACTACCCAGACTTTCTAAGTTTCCTATCTTTCCAGTCAGTAAACCCATTCAATCCCCTTCCTACCTCCTCATCTACTACACTGGCACGATTCTGCTTGACCAGGTGCTCCACTACACGCCATGCCGAATGCCGGTATTAGCAAACAGACATTTTCCTTGTGAATCCTTTGTAGAAAACAACTGACGTTTTTCTCTTCTTTGCTGCTCCTTTTTTTTTCTTCATCAGATCTTTTCTTGCCCCATCTTTCTAGGTCTTTGTCTTGATGTTTCCGTCTTGCTTCTCTTCATCTCCTCCACCTCTGCCTCCCTGCATGCAGGCAGCCTCTCTGCATTACTCGCTGCTTATTGCTCCCTTCCACAATCCCCTACAGATGTTTCACATTATGGAGAAACTGCTCAGTCCCCCCTGTATCCTAATGGCTGAGCTGCAGTTTCTCTGACTGTCATTTATGCCCATTAGGAAGAAATAATTATTAAAGATATGGAAATGGGAGAGCAGTATGAATGCCCACCAGCACACAAGCCCAGCAAGATGAACCTGCAAACGGAGCACTGCCATTCCCACCAGGCTGCTACCTTCTGAGCTAGAGCTGCTTTCCGGACCCCTTCGCTCAGCTAAGAAAGGGAAGCAACGCCAGGGAAAGACACTGCCTCCAGAATTGTAGCCAAGGGATGTGTAACTATTAGACATAAGTCTGTGGGAAACTTGTAGGAAAGCTACAGAGACTAGGCTGAAAGGCCCTGCAGGTCACTTAAGAGCTATGCTCTTAATTCGATTCTCGTCCCTAACAGAGGACTGGACGGGAGGACTCCCGCAAGCACTAGACTCCACCAGCCCTAATCGACGGACAGTTTTCTCCAAACAAGAACTGTTACTACTTTTTTTTACTCTGTATCTGTTTTAGCGACAGCCCTCACAGTATCTGCAAGATTTCCTTTGCTCATCAACCCAAATATTCTAAACTTTGCCTTTAGACACTGTCTGAATTGCTACTGGCATCTAATAGGGCCTAATGGCTGCCGTGCCTCAGGACCAGCCACAATCTTCCTTTAGGCCAGCATATCGTAGACCGAAGAGTCTGATTCACAAGCGGACGGAGCTTGCCCTGGCGCCGCTTGCAGTGCTTCCACCCTCAGCTGCTCTTGCAGCAACCGGTGAACTACTGCAATCTTCAGCCCACAATATTAGTGAACTGGCACCAACATTATTTTTCCACACAAGAACAAAAAGAATAGAAAAAAGAGACAAGAAAAAGGAATGAGATGATCTGTGGCCTTGCTATCCCTGATGTGTTATAGGAAGAGAGAAAAAAAAGAAGAGGAGAGGGATTAACGACTCCTGCGTGGTCTATTCAGTTTTATCACCAGAGGATGTATATGAGTGCGCAGGTCCGATTTTGGATCTTTTTTCCTCCTGTCTGACCTGGAATGAAACCTGTCCCAAGTGGCTCATAGCACTGACTTTTTTCTACTGATGAGCTGTAGAATTCTTAATCTTTGTTATTTAAATACAATAATTACGGAGACTGCCCTACCATCTCTGAAAAGACATAATCAGTGTTTTAATCTCTTCACGTATATTACTATGTAACGTACAGGGAGCTTTAAATATCATTTACAGATTACAAAGATCACAGACTTTGTCAAAGCCACTTGGGTGCTTAATTTTCTCAATGAGGATGAAATCTCACTCAGGCCATAACACTGAAGACGGGAAAGGTGCTTTCCCCTCATTCCACAACGTATAAACATCAGCTTCTTTCTCAGGTCTTACATTATGGCATGAAAAGTTTATCTACATCTGTGTGTTTGCGGTTCAGAATATTAAGAGCATTACTTCATGGATGCTCAAACTCATCTCAGAGAGCGGCCGTGCAAGCCAGACTTTATATAAGGTGGGAGAAAGTGTTTATCTCCAGAAAAGAAGTAATAGCTTGAGCTCAGACCTGACAAAAATGACAAATCTTACTTTCGGAGCTGAGAATTTAAATTGCTTATAGGTCCCAACCCACTGGTGATACTTAATAAAAACAAGATTAGCTTAAGCAGGAGGAGTAAGAACTGCCTTAATAATCAGCAAGATCACCCTCATTTACTCAGCATGGGTAGAGCCCGCAACGCAACGCTGACTGCTAGTCATTCCTACCCTGAGCCTTAGTCTGCACTCACTTCTCTGTGCCCTGTTTTCAGCAAAGAAGGAAATCCCAAAGGAATCAGTATCCAAAAATGGATTTACTTCTTTATATTGTGAAAGTTGTTGAAGAGAAAAACACTATGCAAAAAGGATCACCATTATGCTACCCACAAGCTAATGGAGAAACTGAACACTTCAGCACAAGTCTGAACCTTTTGTAAGTTAACCTGGAAGAAAAAGGTTAGAAAATCTTCATTATAAATGTCCTACAGACTTTCAGACTTGTACAGTACGTAGAAATGCCTATTCAATTACTATGCAGGATAT